CTACTACTACTACTACTACTACTACTACTACTCTTATTACTACTCCTACTACTACTACTACTACTACTACTACTACTACTAGTACTACTAGTACTACTAGTACTACTACTACTACTGCTACTACTACTACTGCTGCTGCTACTACTACTACCTATTACGACTACGGTTACTACTGCTACTACTACCACTACCACTACTACTACTACTACTACTACTACTACTACTACTACTACTACTGGGACTACGACTACTACGATGACCACTACAACTAAAAATAGGACTGCCACGACGATTCCGACTACTACGCCTACGACGACTACTACTTTTGTTACTACTCGTACTGCTACTACTACTACTACGACGACGACGACCAACCACCTCGTTTACCACTATGCATACTACTACTACTATTGCTACTGCTACTACTACCACCACTACCACTACAACCACCACTACTACTACTACTACGACTACTACGACTATTACTACTACTACTACCACTACTACTACTACGACTACTACTACTACTACTACTATTACTACGACTACTACTACCTATAACTACCTACTACTACTACTACTACTACCTATTAGTACGACTACTACTACTACGACGACTACTACTACTACTACGATGACCACTACTAGTAAAATCACGACTGTCACGACGACTCCGGCTACTACGACTATTATTACTACTACTACTACTACATTACGACTTCTACTGCTACAAGTACTACCACTACTACTATTACTACTACTACTACTACTACCACTACGGCTACTACTACTACTACTACCACGACGACGACGACGAGTAACTACTACGACGACCACTATGCATACTACTACTACTACTACTACTACTACTACCCCTGCCAGTACTAGTACTACTACTACTACTACTACTACTACTACTACTTCTACTACTACTACTACTACTACCACTACTACTACTACTACTACTACTAATACCTACACCACCTGCTACTACTACTACGACTACTACGACTACGACTACTACTACTACGACGACGACTACTACTACTGCTACTACAAGTACTACTACTACTACTACTACTGCTACTACTACTACTACTACTACGCTGACCACTACTACTAAAAATACGACGGCCACGACGACCCCGACTACTACGGCTACTACTCCTACAACTACTACTACTACTACCACTACTACCACTACTACTACTACTACTACTACAACTACTACTACTACTACTACCCCTACTACTGCTACTACTACTACTACCACTACTACTACTATCAGTACTACTACTTCTACTACTACTACTACTACTACTACTACTACTACTACTACTACTACTATTAGTACTACTACTACTGCTACTACTACTACTACTACTACTACTACTACTACTACTAGTACTACTACTACTACTACTACTGCTACTACTACTACTACTACTACTACTACTACTACGACGACGACGACGACGACGACGACTAACTACTACGACTACAGCTACGAATGCTACTACTACCACCACCACTACTACTACTACTACTGCTACTTCTACTCCTACTCCTACTACTACTCCTACTCCTACTATTACTACTACTACTACTACTACGACTACGACTACTACTACTACTACTACTTCTACTACTACTACTACTATTACTACTACTACTACTATTACTATTACTACTACTTGACTACTGCCTGCTGCTACTGCCTACTAACTACTAACTACTAACTGCTACGACTACGGCCTACTCTTTCTACTACTACTCACAGTCCTACTACTACTACTACTACTACGACTACGGCTGCTACTATCTACTACTACTACGACTAACTACTACTACTACTACTCTACTAGCTACTACTACTACTACCTACTACTACGACTACTAACCACTACTACTACAACTACTACTACTAACTACTACTACTACTACTACTACTCCTACGGCTACTACTACTACTAATACGACTACTAAGTCGACTATTTCTATTACTACTACTTGCTATCCTACTACTACAACTCACTACTACTACTACTACTACTACTACTACTAACTACTACTAATACTAACCTACTACTACTACTACTACTACTACTACTACTACTAACTTACTACTACTACTACTACTACTACTCCTACCTACTACCTACTACTACTACTACTACTACTACTACTACTACTACTACTACTACGACTACTAGTACGACTACTTCTACTACTACTACTACTACTACTACTACTACTACTACTACTACTACGACTACTAATACTTTTACTACTACTGCTATTACTACTACTACTACTACCACTACTACTACTACTATTACTACTACTACTACTACTACTACTACTACTACTACTACTACTACTACTACTACTACGGCGACGACGACGACGACGACGAAGACGTCGACGACGACGACTACTACTACTACTACTACCCCTACCACTTCTACTACTACTACTACTACTACTACTACTACTACTACTACTACTACTACTACTACTACTACTACTAACACAGCATACAGCACAACCAGCCACTACCAACGCCACACCACTAACACAACATTACCAACACCACACCACTAACACAGCACAGCGACCACCACACCACTAACACAGCACTACTACCACGTTGGTTCCAGGCGGGAGTTACTGTGGCCACTTTTGCCTGCGCGGGAGTGCACTCCCTTAAGGGTTGCGAATCTCTCCAGATCTAACATGAGATACATTTACATATTACTTTTCAGTGAGCGGCCTGCGCGGGCCACAGTAACTCCCATCCCGCCGCGCGACGGGCCACACTAACACCCAACGGGCCACACTAACACCCAACGGGCCACAATAACAACCGGTCGCCCTCCTCCCCTCCTCCTCCTCCGCCTCCTCCTCCTCCTTCTCCTTCTCCTTCTCCTTCTCCTTCTCCTTCTCCTTCTCCTTCTCCTCCTCCTCCTCCTCCTCCTTCTCCTCCTCCTCCTCCTCTTATTCATTGTTTTGCCGATCGGTGCGGGCCCTCGCAACCCCCCTCCCCCCCCCCTGGAGTAGATCTTGGCTGTTTGGGGCGCCTGTTTCGAGCAGGTGGAGCCTCCCCCACAGGACGCACTGCTTCAAACAGTCGCACTAAGCACAGGTCCAGAGCCAGAGCCCCCCCCCCCTCCCCTCCCCCCGCCCCCTTCCGCCCAACGTCGAAGCGCCGAGTAAGACAACGCCCACACAAACATACGGCCAGGAACTCTGGCTCAGCGTCATGCTCCGCCGCTGGCCCATCACGCTGCGGCGCGACGCCCCGCCCACACCCTGGCCCCCGTGCGTGAACGTCCCGAGCCTTTCCGATCCTCCCGCCCCGCGGAGCGGAGCGGCACGCCTCCGCCTGCCAGGAGCAGAGAGTGACGCCCGGCGGGGCCGCTGCCGCGACACGCCAAGCGAACGCTTCCGAACGTAACTTTCTGGAGACCCTCGCGGATTTCTTCTTGGACCTTAGAGGAGGAACACCGTACGGTAGGTTCGCGTCGTGCCGACCGGCGGCGACCCCACCGCGTGTGTTGAGTGTTGAACGCCGCCCGTGGCCCAGAATCGGCCCGTCGTTGAACGATCCGGCGCTCACGGAACGTCCGATCGTTCAAGTTTGAACGATCCCCGCGGTGTCAGGAACCAAGGCTGGGGTCGACACGATGCGACCCTGCCGTGCCGATACCGCTACACTTGCCTCGTTCTCGCATTTGTGGGCCTCCTGGGAGGCTCTCGTCGCCACGGCCGGATTGGCTGCGCAACTTTCGCCAGAACACACCACGGGAGAGGCCGGGAGATCAGCGTTATGGGTACCTTTTTCCCCCCAGGATCGGCGCTGGGCTCTCTCTGGCGGCGCCTCAGGCGCCGCTTTTGGCGCGCTCCGCGCGGGGGTTCCAGCGCCAATCCGCGCGGATCTCCAACAGTTTGTGTCTATGGGTTTTTTGCTGTTCTTCCAAGGAGAGGATGCGCGAAGCTGTGGCCAGCCAGCAGCGCCAGCTGCGGGAGGGCGTGCGTCGAACGGAGGAGGGCCTTAGGCTCGAGGCGGAGAAGCGGGAGAAGATCGCCTTGCACGAGCAGAACATCAACTTGCTCAGGCAGCAGCACCAGCAGGGCATACCGCCCATCGTCACTGTGACGCTGGTCGGGGCCCAGTACCTTCACGCTGTCAACACGGAGCGACCTAACTCCTACTGCGTGTGCGAGGTGCCTGGCAAGCCGTTCACGCAGTTCCGAAGCAGGACCGTCGCCGGCAGTCCCTCCCCAGAGTGGCACGACTGCGCGACGCTGCGCGGCTACCTGAATGGCGACCGCTTGTCTTTCAGGGTGTTCCACACAGACCCCGATGCCAGCGCACAAGCTTCCAGGCACGCGAACATGCTCTGCATCAGAATAAATGGAGCGCACAACTTGAAGAACACGGAGACAGGCTTCATGAGCGGCGTTTCCGACCCATACGTGATCGCTCGGATTGGCTCGGTCGAAAAAAGAACGCCCACCATCGAGAATAACTTGAATCCCGTGTGGACTCACGACCACGAGTTCGAGTTCGAGCTCGAGGGGACGTCGCCCACGCTGCTTCTGATGGTGATGAACGAGAACGTCGGGCAGATGATGGAGGGGTACAGGGCCGACGACTGCATCGGCCGCTGCGAGATCAACCCGCTCGAACTCCCAAAGAAGCAGTGGACCCACAAAGAAGAGCACCTGGAGGACGGGGACGGTGGCGTGCTGGAGTTCGAGGTCTTCTACAGCCCGCCCGTGCAGGAGCACGACGAGCTGCTCGGGGCCGTCGAGCTGGACCACCCCACGTTCGCCTTCGGGTACAGCGGCACCCTGAGCCTCTACGGGGCCCACGGGGACACCGGCTCCAAGCTCCACGTGGCCGTGGACGTCGCGCCAGCGCAGCCGGGCACGATGCCGACGCGCGACGCCGGCATCCCGCCCGCGCCGCAGTCGCAGCCCGGGTCCAGACCCGGCTCGGTCGCCCCCGCTGGCACTCCGCCGCCGCCGCAGCTGCAGCCCGGGTCCAGCCCTGCTGGCTCGCTCGCGCGGGCGGCCCTGTCGCCGGCGCAGTCCCACGGCAGCCCCGCGGGCGCGCCGTCGGACTTCGGCGTCGGCGCGCCGTCGCAGCGCGGGGCGCCGTGGCACCCGGCCGGCGGGGGCCTCCCCGAGCAGGGGCGGCCCCCTGGCACGCTGCAGCGCGTGGACTCGCGGGCATCCTCGCACTACCCGCACTCCTACCACGCCCCCTCCGTCGCCGCGTCGGACCTCGCTGGGCGGGGGCCGCCGGTGCAGCACGGCGCGACCTGGCACCCGGCCGGCGGGGGCATCCCCGAGGACGAGCGGCTCAGCGGGTCGCCACAGACGTGGAACCCGGGCCAGGACCCGATGCTCACGCAGTATTCCAGGGCAATGAGCGACGTGGCGACCCAGGACCCGATGCTCACACGCTACGATCGAGCAATGAGCGACGTGGACAGCGTCATGACCAGCCCGCCCGACCGGCAGCGCCAGAGGTCCGCGCGCCACGGCGCGGCACCCCCACGGGCGCCTGGCGGCGCAGCGAGCTCTCGGCCCCCCAGGCGCCCGGACCGCGCCGCCGCGGAGCCCCCGGGGAGGCAGCTGGAGGCGTCTGGACGGCACGGCATGATGCCCCCGGGCCCCCACAGCGCACCGCCGATAGCCGGGTACCAGGCCCAGTCCAGCACCTGGGGCCCCCCCAGCCCATCGCGCAGCTACGGCAACAGCCTTCCGCCCCCCGCGCCGATGCTGTCGCCCGCTGCCGCCACGCACAGCCGCGGCAGCGTCGGCTCACATGGGACGCTGGCCCCGCTCGCGGCGGCCCCAGGGCCGACCGGCGGCTACGGCGGCCAGACCCCCGCGAGGGGCCGGCACCCGAGCGGCCCCACTCCAGGGGCCTTCTCTGCCTACCCAGCGGCCTCCGACGTGGGCAGCCACGGCCGGGGCTCCCCGCCTGGCTCTGCGCTCCCCGCGGCGGGCCCCGCGCCCAGGCCCTGCTCCAGCCGTGGCTCCGCCCCGCCCGGGGCCGCGCCGCCGGCTGGGCCGTCCTACAGCCGGGGCTCCGAGCACGGCTTCGCGCCCCCCGCGGCGGGGCCCCCCGCGCCCGGGCCGTGCTCCAGCCAGGGCTCGCTGCAGCACGCCAGCCTCGCGCCGCCTCCGGCGGGCGCGCCGCCGCCCGGCGGGCCCTTCTCCGCCGCGGGCTCGCCGTCGCCGGCCGCGCCGCCGACTCACTCCGAGCAGCCGCCGCCGCTGCTGCCCCAAGGGCCCGCCGCCCCGCCGCCACTGCCGCTGCAGAGCCGCGCGGGCACTCCTCCTCCGCAGTACCCTGGCGCCTACGGCACCCTGTCTGGCACGCAGGGTACGCCCGCGGGCGCGCCGCTGCCTGGGCCTCCGGCGGCGTGTGGGGGGCCGCGGGGGCCCGACGGGTCGCCGAGCCCCGCGCAGGCGGTCGACATCCGGCCGGGCGACGCCGAGGCGGCGCCCAGCCTTGTGACGGTCTGGATCCGGGGCGCCCGCAACCTGAGGAATTTGGACACGGGCATCATGGGAGACCTGTCTGACCCCTACGTCGCGGTCTCCGTGGGCAAGAGCCAGGAGCAGAAGACCCCCACGATCAACAACAACCTCAACCCTGCCTGGAGCAGCGGCAACCAATTCACCTTCCCCGTGACCCTTGAGGATCCAGTGCTGCGCTTACGCGTGATGAATCACAATTACACCAAGGACCAGAGCTTGGGCGAGGCCGAGGTCGACCTGCGCGTGATGCAGTACGGGAGGGTGTGCCAATTCAGGGAGCCCTTGCGTGAAGGGCAAGGCGCAGAGCTGGAATTCGATGTTGAGTTCAGGCCGACAGAGTATTTTCTCACAGTCCTGGAGTCCACGAGCAAGCTTTACCTCCGAGTGAACGGGGCTCTGGGCCTCAAGAACACAGACACGGGCTTGTACAACCCGGTGACGGGCACCCGCGACCTATCTGACCCGTACGTGGTTGCCACAGTCGGCAGGCAGCAGCATAAGACACCCACGATCGATGACACCCTGGACCCAGTGCCCAGAGGAGAACAACTCACCAATTCCGATACAGTCGGGCCGCTGAAGAAGGAGCCCTTTTCCTTCGGGAGGGGCCCAGTGCCCTTCGATTGTTCTGCAGCTCGTCTCAGGTTTCCCTCAGGTTTCTCTGTGGGGCATCGCAGCTCCACGCACGGAGACGAGGGGCCTCGCTCCTTGCGCAGCGCTCCCTCTGACGGCGTCTCGACCGCATCCTTCCACCGCCTTCGCCATCGCTGGGCCTCCTGGCAGGCCCTGCGCCCCCCGCCCCCCCCCCCCCCCCGACGCCGTGCTCCTCGCCGCCACGGCTGGGCCCGCCTCGGAGCCACGAGGCGCCCTCGGAGACGCCCAGGGGGCCAGCGGCGTCTCGTCCCCCGCCAGGTGTGGGAGAGCTTCAACAGCTTCACGTTCTCGGTCGGGGACGACGAGCACGAGCTGCGGCTGGAGGTGTTCAACGAGAACAACTCGATGCGCCGCGACGACAGCATCGGCTTCTTCGTTCTGGACCTCCGCTACATCCCCCACAACGTGTGGGTGCCGCACCGCGAGAAGTTGCAGGCCGCCCCTGGAGAGCTCGAGTTCGACGTCTACTTCGGGCCAACGGAGTACTACAGCCTCAGCTGCCAGCTCGCCCAGGCGAAGGCTGAGCAGGCCAGGTGCGCTGCCGAGGCCACCAGGCTGAGCAAGGAGGTCCAGATGGCAGAGTACGCGAACGAGTGGCTGGAGGACATCGAGGGGATGACCAAGATGCCGCTGAGCATAGTCGAGAAGGATTGGGAGCACGCCTGCGGTGGCCGCAACCTCGTCATCCCCGCCTGGATTGCCGTCACTTCAGCCCAGGTGGGCGGCGCAATCAAAAAAGACGGGGGGGGATCGACTGCTTGGGCAATCCGTGCGTGAGTTGTCCGCGCCCGGTCGCGCGCACGCGCTCTCTGCTCTGCTCGGTGTGCCACGCTGGTGGCCCGCCTGGGCCATCCCGTGAGGTCCCCGTGTCCTCGCGCGCGCACATGCCGCTTGGTGAAAAAACAAGTTTTTCTTTGATTGCCAGGTCCCAGTCTGCTTTGTCTGCCGTCCCCATTCCCGGATCGACAGTTTCGTGCTGGAACCGCCCAGCCAGGATCGGTGGCTTCGTGCTTGAACCGCCCCTTCAACCCCATTTTCTCGAGTCGTACCGCAACCAAGTCCACATCAACCGCCGTTCTACTTCAATGCTTCGTCTCCATGCGTTTTCCGATCGGCCTGAAAGCCAGTGGCGCGCACAAGCGGGGCAGGGCGAGGCCTTCTGACAGTGCAGGGGACATGGCCACGTGAGCTGCTTCGCTAACTCCTCCTCCCTCTGCTGTCCCCTCCCCCTCGTCCGACACGACGCGTGCAGGGTGCTATCCCCCCTCCGTTTGCTACGCCAACCCCCCTTCCCTCTCCTCCGACGCTGTTTTTTTTGTCCTGCTGTCGGCCCCCGCGATCTCGGCCCCTCCTCCTGAGGAGGAGGAGGAGGAGGAGGAGGAGGAGAAGGAGGAGGAGGAGGAGGAGGAGGAGGAGGAGGAGGAGGAGGAGGAGTTCTCCTCTTCCAGGGGCCCAGGGAGCGGCCTCATGTAGATGCAGACCAGAGTCTGCCCCAAAAGCGGGCCGCCGCGAGTTTTTTTGCAGCGCCTGGGATCTGAGGGCTTCGCTCGACCCGAGGAGGAGGTGGAGGAGGGGGAGGGGGAGGAGGAGGAGGAGGAGGAGGAGGAGGAGGAGGAGGAGGAGGAGGAGGAGGAGGAGGGAGGAGGAGGAGGAGGAGGGAGGAGGAAGAGGAGGGGGAGAGGAGGAGGAGGGAGGAGGAGGAGGAGGAGGAGGAGGAGGAGGGGAGAGGACAGGGGCCAGGGACAATGGTCACGCAGAGGGGGGTGGGGGGGGGAGGGGGTTCTTAGAAGCACCCCTGCTTCTGAGAAGGCGCGGGCCTTATCTATAGATGCAAGGTCGGCGCCTTCTAAGAAGCAGCCTCCTTCTAAGAAGCCCTCCCCCCTCCCCCCATCCCCTTGTGCGCGCCGCCAAAATGATCGGGGGGATGCAGGTCGGGGGCGGCAACAAAAAAACAGGACGGAGGTTTTCGACGTGTTCGGCCTCTGGGGGTCCTCGCGGGGCCCTGGGACCGTCGAACAACGACTCGGGACGAAAATCGGGCCCCTGGGAAAGGGTCGGGACTTCTGCGGACCGCGTATTTCAGGGGCGGCCAAGAGGGGGACGATGACTAGGGGGGGAGGAGAGCATGGCGGGGACCATGATAGCTCCCCAGATTTCGTGGCGCCTCTTCCTATGACGTGCAATACGTCCCTGGCCCCCCCCGGGCCGCGCACATGCCGAGGGCCATGATTTGCGCCCCCTGCTCTTGGTCGCCCCCCTCTTGGACGCCCCCGAACAGGGAGGGGGGGGGCTGCCTCGACCCCCCAATCGCCCACTGTCCGCCGATGGGGGCTGGTTTAGCCCCAGCCTTCGATGCATCGCCGATCCCAGGTCGATGTGTCCCCCCCTCATTTGCCAGCCCCCTCCTCCTCCTCCTCCTCCTCCTCCTCCTCCTCCTCCTCCTCCTCCTCCTCCTCCTCCTCGTTGCCCATCGCAGGTGCAGAGCCTGGAGAGGCGGCGCTCCCAGCACCCGCAGAGGGTGTCGCTCTTCCCGGAGGCCGAGGCCTCGGGCCGGCCTCCGCCCAGGCTGCGGGTGAGGACCCGCCAGTGGCGGTCTTTCGCCGGCATGCCTGTGCCGCCGCTTTCTGGTGGAGGTTTCTCCGAAGGGCGTGGGCGACCCGTTCTCCCCATCCTCCTCCTCCTCCTACTCTCTCTCTCTCTCCTTCTCCCCCATCCTCTCTCCTCCCCTCCTCCTCCTCCTCGTCCTCCTTCCCCTCCTCCTCTTCCTCCTCCTCCTCCTCCGCCTCCACCTCCTCCTCCTCCTCCTCCATCTCCTCCTCCTTCTTCTCCCCCCTCCTCCTCCTCCTCCCCTCCTCCTCCTCCATCTCCTCCTCCCGCTCCCCTTCCTCTTCCTCCTCCACCTCCACCTCCTCCTTCCTCCTCCTCCTCCTCCTCCTCGTCCTCCTCCCCCTCCTCGCCCTCCCCTCCTCAGGTCGCCTACGGCCCCGGGGGAAACCGTCCACTTTCTGGAGTTGACGGTTCGTCGTCTCGCCCGTCGGCGGTCGTCCCTGGGTCCGCTTGCTCCTCTTCCTCCTCCTCCTACCCCTGTTCCGTCGTCATTCTGGCTCTAGATGTTCATTGCCCGTGGCAGAGCACGGTGGCCTTTGTTCAAGGGGCAGCTTTGGACCACCATTCCCGCCTTCCTCGCGCCCGCGTGGCCGAGCTTCATATCCCTCGCCACCGCATTCCCTTGCGGCTGGCATTCGTATGTCGCTGCGGCGTTTGTTCCGACGCGCGGCCCTTCGTCTTGGGGAGAGCGCCGCGGCCACCAGGACACGCTCCGCCTCGGGCGCGGTGGGCTCGCCGCGGGGTTGCCCCGGTGCCGGCTGCGTCTCCTTGGGGCAGGGTTGGCCGTGGGTTTGCCGCGATGTCGGCGTCGTCCACTTGGGCGCGTCGGGAACAATCGGCACGGCGACAACTCATTCGCAGTTGCTTGGAGCTGACGCAGGCCGTGTACCTGTACAGTGGGGACCGCTGGAGGAGGTTACGAGGCCTCCAGACATCTCACCCTTCACGAACTTGGAGACAAACGACAAGATCTCAGGGCAGCAAGTGCCAGCGAATTACCAGTTCATGATCTACCCGCCCACGTTCGCAAGCATTTCCAAGAAACACTGGATAAACAAATCCAGAAGTTGCCGCAGTATGCGAAACCACCGCCAAGTCCGTCACCGCCGCCGCCAGCAAGGAGTTCCTCGAGCCCCTCACATCCATCGCGCCCGACCACAGCAAGAGACACGAAACCACATAACGCGCCATCGCAAATGTGGCCGTACGTACCTCAGCCCTGGAGACGCACAGCGCCGAGCTCCTAGCTCCGTCTGCAAAATTGGCAAGCGTTGTATCGCAAACAGAATCACGTGCACATGCCCTCAACCGCGAAGACATTTGTACACGGGATAGAAGCCCTGATCGATGCGATTACCGATTACTTCCTTGTGCAGCAACGCACAAAAGATCAGTCACAACGACTTGGGCAAAACCCTTGCCGTTTGGTCCGCGCAGCCAAACACAAGATAACCCACATCATTTTCAGCATCGTCGGCCCCGCCAAGCGCAGCTCGTTCCAGCTCCGCGGTGGGACTGCGCGGCATAGAGCGCCGCGGCGGCGCGCGGGCAGAGCGCGAGCGCCGCGGGCGCCGCGGGCGCCGCCGGCACCTCCCGGAACCGGAAGAGCGACCGCGAACCGAGAGCAGACGGGTGGTAATTCCGCTCTCCATTCCGCGGGGGGCACAACAGCAGGTATTCACCGCGAAAGGATCCGCGCGCCCGACGCTCGCCGGAGGCGCGCGCGTCGCGCGGCGCGCGGCGGGGCGCGCCGAAAAGGATGTGCATCCCGCGCCGCGTCGGCATTTGAAAACGACGAATGGGCGCCAACCATGGCCGCCGTCCCGCGGGTCTCGTAGGTGCGCAGGCGCGCCTGCAGTTGCGCGCCGTGACGGTGCCGCGTCGCCCAGGGCCTGGGTGCCAGTCTATCATCGCCGTCGAGAGCCGCCCGAGCGCGGGGCCAGGGGGCGCGCGAACGACCCCGGCAGGCCTCTGAGCCCAGGCGCGCGCGACGCTCGCGGGATCGCGCGCCCGGCAGAATGCTGCCTCGAGTTGCAATGGCCATTGCCGGCCGCTGCCCCTTGCCGTCGCTATCGCCCGCTGAGGAAGCGCTTGAGCTTTCCTTTCGCGGAGGGGTCTTCTCCCGTTCTCGTGCCCTCAAGGACAGACTGGTTCTTGAGGCGGCCGTGGCGGTGCCCGGCGGCGTCTTGGCGGCGGTCGATTGGGCTGCCGCGCTCTCGGAGCGGCAGGCGCGCCGCGAGGGGCGCGCGATTGTTAGCGAATTCGGGCGGGGGGCGCCGAGCCGCGCCGCTAGAGCAACGTCGGCCCGGCTCGCGGGCGGCGACGCCAGCGCGCGCGTCGTCGCAGGGTCGATCGGCGGCCCTCTTCTCGTCGAATTGTTGGGCGAAGTCGGTTGCGAGGGCGCGGCCGGCGCAGGTGTTGCCCGGCGCGGCGCGCCCCTCGTGGGGCCGCGCCTGCGCGCGGGGAACGGGCGACCAGAGAGTCTTTCTGTAAACCGCTTAGCCCGGCGGAGTTGGGCGCGGCGCGCGGCGCCGAGCAGTCCGGCAATTCGGCCCCGAGATTCCTGCCGAAACAGTGGCCGAGGCGAAGCTGGGCCGAATAAGTGAGCCCGCGCCGATCTGCGCGGTCGGGCTCGACGGCTCCGTTTGGAGGCCGGGCTGAGGCGCGAGGCGCATGCGGGGGCTCGGTCCCGAAACGCCGCGACTTGCGAGCGATGTGTCTCGCCCCCCAATGAACGCGGCTTCTTCCGGCCGAAGTAGCGGCTCGGGCGCGAAGCCATCGACGGCCTGTTCGGAGCCTGTGGCGCGCGTGGGCGAAGCGCCCAGGCTCTGGCGGGCAGGCGTCGACGCCGCGTTCCCGCGCGCCCCGCTGATGCCTGGGCGCCGCGCCTATGCGTGGATCGCCTCCCTAGCGGGCGCGCGAATCTACGCGGCCCAGGACATCGCCGCCCCGTTCGAAGCGGCATCCTTCGTTCACGAGCGGGGGCGCGTCGGCGCAGTGCTGGCCGCGCTGGTCCGCGGGCTAATTTTGTTCAGCGCTCCGCGATGTGGGCGACTTTTTCTGCCCTGGCGGAGGAGAGGGCCGCGCGATGCAATGCGCCAGTTTGCCGAGCCTGTTAGGGCCATGCACGGCCCGTGCGCGGTTGCCGCCGGCGAGTTACTACTCGGATCCGCTCGGCATCTTTGGTATGTCTGCGGCGATTGACGAGAGCGGCCTCGCGCGTTGGCCACTGCCGGACAGGCGCGCCCGATGGCGAGCCGAGATCGCCGCCGCCCTTAGAACGGGCTCGCTCGAGCGCGGGCGCGCATCGAAGTTGGCAGGCCGCAGTTGTTGGGCCGCCCCCGACGCTCTCGGGCGATTGGGGCGAGCGCTGCCCCCGCCGTTGCGCGAGCGCGCGGGCGCGCCGTCCGAGTGCCCTGGCGCACCTGCGAGTCTGTCTGCAATGATAGTGCGAAGCGCTGTCCAGCAATTGCACCGCGGCTGCCAGACACCAGGTCTGTACTGCTACTATCCAGAGCGCGGGGCCACCCGGCTAGGGTTGCGCGGCCGATGTTGCCCTTCTGCCCCTCCTGAGCCCCTGCTTCGGCTTTTGAAGAGAGGCGCGACTGTCAAATCGGGGGGCTGGAGGTGTTTGGCGCTGCGGGTCCGGCCACTTTCGAGTCGCCCCTGTCTGGCCGATGTGAACTTCATGCGGGATGGCGCGGGCAGCGAATGGGCCGTTCGGTCCGGCGCGGCGAAACAGCGTGAACATACTTGCTTGGTCCATTCGGCGTGGCGCGTGGCGCTGCGTGGGAACGGCAACATGCGCGTTCGCCGCGTGGCGCGGGCGACCGACGTCGCCGACTTGCCCTCGCGCGAGGCGCGCTCCCTTCTGGGTCGCGCGGGGGGCGGAGTGGCTTCCCCCGGCATTGGGCGGCGCGCGTTTCGACCCGGGCGCGCGGCTGCCTTGGAGCCTTGTTTCTTTAAGACTCCGGCGAGTTTACTGGCATGGACGGGGGGGGGGCTGAGCCTGAAGCAAGCCGCAAACGACTTGCACGTTCGGGGGGGCGCGGAAATCACGCAAGTCGAAAGGCACTTGCACGCTAGCATTCGCGTGAAGAGGGGCGAGGGGGGGGGGGGGGGGCGAACGCCATGCAAGTAAACGTGCCGGAATCCAAAAAAAACAGGCTCTTGCTGCCGGCCGTGACCGGCCCGGGCGCCGGGCGCGAGTGCATTGCGTCCTCTCCTGTCGGTCAGGGCGCGCCAGCCATGTCGGGCAGGCGAGGCGGTCGCCCCTCGCGCGCGCCGCGCTTGCGCCTCGCGCAGCGAGCGCGCGCGTCGCGACGCAGTCGGCGCGCTTGTCGCAATTCGATAGGGAGGGCGCGATGGCGCGATCAATGCTCGCAATGCGTCGCGGTCAAGTCTGGCCGCCCATCTTCGCGTGGCATGCCCAGGGGTCGGCCCAGAGGCGCGCCTCGTCCCGGTTTTCCGCGCTGCTGCGCTGATTGCCGACGACAGCGCTGATGCCGCGCGCGATCTGGTCGGCGTCGCGCTGGCATATTCAAGGGGCGCCGCAGCGCTATCGCGCGACGCCCGCGAGGTGCACCGCGCGGGTGCTGCGGCGGCACAGCGCGGCAGCGCGCCGGCCCCGCTAGGCGGAAGACGCGCGGCCGCTCGCGCCGCGCCCGGGATTGCCTTCAGGTCTTCTTCGCGCGCCCCTTTTCGCCCGCGGGCGCCTCGCGTCGGGCGTCGCCGGGCCGGCGTCGCGTGGCGAGCGCCCTCGAGCGATTCACATCCTTCATCGTCCGCGGCGCGGGCGCGACACCGCGGCGCATTGCGCGGCGCGTCGCGCGGGCGTCTGGGCAGGGGCGGGGCGCGCGCGGCCTCCCCGCCCCGCCGGACTGCAGCCGCAGGATCCGCGGGGGCGGGGGAGGCCGCGCGCGCCCCGCCCCTGCCCAGACGCCGCGCGACGCGCCGCGCAATGCGCCGCG